CATCTTGCCATCTATTCCTAAAGCATCTAAAAATCGATGCTATTTTTTTTTTGGGCGGAGGGGGGATGAGTGCACAACAAGCGGTGCTCACTCCTGAATCTGTGCTCAGGGATCACTCCAGTTGGGAATAGGGGAACTATAAAGGACACTGGGAGTCAAACCCAGGTTGGCAGCGTGGAAAAGCAAATACCCTGCCCACTGTACTATCTCTTCGGACGCTAAAGATAATTCTGAACACAGAAGCTTCTGTAATATTTAATGCACAAAAACAAAACATTAAAAACTCTGCAATACTAGGACCTCTGTAATCTAATTAAGAGTTGAAATTACTTCTCAATAGGGGTTGGAGAGGTTGCTCAGTGGGGGACATTTCCCTTGCACCCAGCCAATGGGGGTTTGAACACCCCAGGAGTAATCCCTGAGTGCAGAGTCATGAGGAAGCCCTGAGCCCAGCCAGGTGTGTCCCACTGCCTGCCCACACCCCACCAGCCCAACTTCCTTCTCAGTAATCACACCAAACTGAGACTGTATTCCCTCACATAATTTCTGATTTACCCAGTTTCTGATTTCTCCAGTTGAACTATTTCTTTCCCTTCCACTTCTGCCCACACTATTTCTTGTATTTTTGTTAGGTTTTAATAACAGCATTTCATTGCAAATATCACTTTTCTAAAGCTAAAATTATTTCTGCCTCTCAACAATAAATCTCCACAGGGTTTTTGCTTTTGCACGCGGCCAACCTGGGTCTGACTCCCAAAGCCAAATAAGCTTTCACTATGGCAATCTTTTTATGTCAATCCCCCGTTTTTATTGATTTATAACGTGGACTATACATTTGGTATTGTCCCATATAGCTGTGGTAGAGATGAAATTGTATTTAACACACTGAATGTTATTCTAACCATACTAACTTCCTAAACTTCTTAGTAAAAATGCCAGTTTCTCATATGCCATACATTTCCCATAACTGATGTAATTACTAAAGGTCACTCCTCAGTAAAACTGCTGGTTCCATTTGGTCTGAGAGCTTGATTAAACTTCATCATGGATGGAACAAGTTTTATATTAACTTAGGGTTCAGGTATCACTGTGGCACATTGCCATCTGTCTCCCTTGGGGATAATCCGGGTTGATCCTCAGCCTATTCAAGCTCTGCCAATTGTATCATTTATCAGTTATATTTTGCCATAGTTTTCTAAGCTGATTGTGTTCCTCCTCTTGCCTGGACCTGTAGTAGAACTGACCACTGCTGTTTAAATAGATCAGATGTTGTTGCTATAAACAAGGCAATTGTTTAATTCAGGGTGAGGGTGTGAGTTCTCCCCCAAAGTTATTGACCAGGAGGACGCTGAATCAGTTCAGTCAACACATAGCGCATGCAAATGCATCATAATTCTGGGCCAAACGCCAGGTTTAACCAGTTCCCAGGAAGAGGACTCCCTCTAGTGACTATTTAGATTATAACTTCCAACCTCATCAGTCCGTAGTTCCTTAGGCAATGTTTTGTGATCACAGTTGCTGCTATTTGTGCCAAGAGACTAATTTAAGTAGACTACGTGCCAAGAACTATGTTTGAGAGATTGCCTGGTGGGCATATTACCTTATAATGTCTCAAAAACTTCCCATGGTCATTGAGGAAAAGAAATCCTAGTGTGAAGCCATCATTCCTGATATGTGAACACCCGTTTCCCATCATCCTTCCCTCTTGGGAATTATTGTGATGGATACTTGCTGAGGTAATTTTCCTTCCGCGTTCCTATCTCAGGTCATTAAAAGAGCAAGTTTAATTCGATATGCTGGGAGGACCCACAACAGAGTGTCTCATACCCAAGTGTGTGCTTTGTAAAATTTAACTAAAATATTGCCAAGTAGTGCTCAGGAGGCGCCATCTGTGATTCTAGGCCCACCGGGCTGATGGTTCAATGCAAGGGCCTGGAAAACAGGTAGACATTTCCATGATATTGATGTTAGAAGTGTCTTGAATGGTTCAACTACATTGGAAAAGAAAATGAAGACAGACAAATAAACCAAACAAACAACGACAGTGAGACAGTGAAAGCAATAACACCCAACAAATGCAAATGGGATTACACCAAACTAAATAAGTCTCTGCTCTGATAAAAAATGGCATTTGATCTTAAAAGGCACCCCATGAAATCAGAGAAAATAGCTGTGCACCATGTATCTAAGAAAAGGCTAATGCTTTCTACTAAGATTTTTTAAAAACTATTTTTAATGGGAGCTTTTCTTCCTGGATAAATAATCTCATCTGTTCATCATATACACATACACATTCACTAATATATATATTTTTTCTCTTAATCATTTATTTATTCTTTTTGTTGAACATATTTGGTTTATAATATTATATAAATGTAAAGTATATAACTTGTTAATATGAATGTTTTAGTATTGCAATAAAATAACCATTATAAATATGTTAACACCTCTGTTACATTACATAATAGACTCATTCATAACCATTTTATTGTGTTACTTGCTCTTTATTATGGATTAGGACATGATGAAAACATTTCTCCCTATTTATAACTAATACGTGTTATATATATTTTATCTATCAAAATTTTATTGTGAATATCATTCAAGGTGGCTTCTTTTCTGTGTATTTTGTGATTTTTCTTAACTTTTAAAATGAATTACTCCATAACTTAGAGGCCAGCCGGGTATCCTAGAGGAAAGGGCAGTTCAGATAGAGAAGGGAGCACCAAATAAAGGATGTTTGGAGGATCCTCCCAGGAGGGGAGATGCATGTCGAAAGTAGACTATGGACTGAACATGTTTGCCACTCAATGCCTCTTTTGCAGACCACAACACCCAAAAGGAGAGAGAGAACACAGGGGATTGCCCTGCCACAGAGACAGGGGGGATGGGGGGATGGGGGTGGGAGGGATATTATCCATGGTGGTGGAAAATGGGCACTGGTGGAGGGATGGGTATCTGATCATTGTATAATTGAAACCAAAGCACAAAAAATTGTAAATCTACAACTTTAAAAAAAAATAAAATAAAATAAAGGGAAAAAAATGAATTACTGTGAGATAGACCCTTACAAAGCTGTTCATGATTGGATTTCAGTCACACAGTATTACAACACCCATCCCTCTACCGGTGTACATTTCCCAGCACCAGTGTCCCCAAATTCCCTCCCATCACCCCCCCCCCACCTCTCTGCCTGCCTCTATGCAGATGCTTTTCTTCTCTCTCTCTTAGAGTATATTTTTTTATGGGCAAGCTGAACCACTAAGTATCTATTACCTACGATGGGCATTAGATTGTCTTTGCTTTTTTTCTAACTTTTGCTATTACAAAAGATACTCATTGAGTGTATGTATATATATTCATATACTTTATTTTGTATTATTATAGCTATCAGTCCTCCAAAATATGAACATAATGTGAAAAGAATGACTAGAAATTTTAATAAAGCTTCTCACGTAAAAGGTCAGTTAGTTTTATCTGGGCTATGCTATGCTATTGAAATGCATATCGATAGATACTGCATGTAGCTAGTGAATCATTTCTCTGAGAATTATTTACCAGAATATCAAATGATAAAAGTATTCAATGAAAACAAGCAGTTGAACTTTGATTTAAGGAACTGGTGTTACCAAGCAGGGATGGGAAAGGGAAGATGAACTCATAACACAAGGGTAGCAGTGGAGGGCACATGGCATTTTGGTGGTGAGAGACAGTGTTTTTTTACAAAAGCATAAATATTAAAATGTCATTTAGTCATAGTAAAAGTGAAATAAATAAAAAATACTTCATAAATTATTAAGGTAAAATCATTGAGAAAATCATAAACAATAAAGGGTGAATATAAAAGAAAACAGAATTACTTCCCAGTTAGTATAATATGCCTTTGTGTGGTTCTGAAAGATTTTAGCTACCTGTCCCTTCACCATTCACATGAGAGTTTTTTTTTTTGGGTCACACTCGGCAATGCACAGGGGTCACTCCTGGCTCTGCACTCAGGAATTACCCTTGGTGGTGCTCAGGGGACCATATGGGATGCTGGGAATCGAACCCCAGTTGGCCGCGTGCAGCCGTGTGCAAGGCAAATGCCTACCAGCTGTGTTATGGCTCCAGCCCCTCACATAAGAATTTTAATTCTAATTTCAAAAGAATAATGCTAAACACATCCACAAATCTTTTTCAGGGAAGCAGACATTTCTAAACGGTAGTGATTGTGGAGCAGAACTTCTTAGCGGAATGAAAGGTAAGAGATGACTCAGTGGAATGGATGTCCATGAGGGACAAATACCAGGTGACAAAGATAGAAACTCAGAGGTGACCCAGCCTCACTGCATACTGGCTTGGCCATTGGGACAGACATGCATCAGACTCCTGTCACTTAAGTAATTAAGGAATTAGGATTGTTCTATTGCTCATCTACTGCCCAGAATATCCAGCTATCGAAGACTGGAAAGAAGGAAAAGGCATTACTCTTGCATAAACTCTTTCTCTCGTCATAACTCCCAGCAATGTCTTTCAAGAAACTGACTATAAAGTTTATGAAACTACAGAAAATACTATGTAATCTAAAATCATTGTACAGATAAATATTTCTTTCAGTAAGCCATGGGGAAGACATCATTTCAGAGCACTTAGAATGAAAATATAGGGTTTCTTGGGGGAGAAGATGACCATCCGCCTGGCTTGACACTTAGGGATCACTCCTGGAGATACTTGGGGCCAGGTTGGCCGATACAAGGTTGGCTGATGCAAGGCAAATATTCTATCTAGTATACTATCGCTCTGACCCTGGAAACGAAGACTGTTTGTTGAACTCTAACCAATTACTGAATCTTAATAAAATCTCACTTACAAAAGAGGTTACAACTCTAAGACACAAATGAGCTACATAAAAGAGCTACACATATATATTTTGACATACAAGAGTCTATTGTCATATCAGAAACCAGCAAAAATGATATAAAGAGCCAAGACACTCATGAATATTCCCACACAGATTTTGGCTAAGATTTCTTCATGTTTAGCAGCTTCCCCAAGCCCCTTTTCATGTCTTTGTTTCTGAGACTGTAGATAAAAGGGTTCAGCATGGAGGACAGAACTGTGTAGACAATCGTTGCCATGCGGGTGCTGACAGTATAGCTGGATAAGGGCTGTAAAATTTCATAGAAGATGCTTCCATAAAAGAGCGTTACCACAGTCAGGTGAGAACCACAGGTAGAGAAGGTTTTGCGTTTCCCAGCAGCTGAGGGGATCTTGAGAACGGCAATAAAGATTTGAATATACGAGAAAACAATGCAAAGAAAGGGGGTCACCAAAGCAACGGGCCCTTCTGTTATTATCAGAACTTCATTGATGAACGTGGAGGAGCAGGACAGTTTCAGCAAAGCATCAATGTCACAGAAGAAGTGGCTGATAATATTGGAGTTACAGAAAGTGAGGCGACTCATCAGCAGTGTGTGGAGCAGTGAGTGGAGGAGAGAAAATGAGCAGGAGAAGGCCACCAGCAGGACACAGCGCTGGTGGCTCATGGTGGTGACATAATGGAAGGGGTCACAGATGGCTACATAGCGGTCAAAGGCCATGACTGCCAGGAGGCAACTGTCAGTGGTACCCAAAGCATAAATAAAATACATCTGTATCACACACCCAACATAAGAGATGGTCTTCTTCTCTGACAAGAAGTTCACTAGCATCTTGGGGACAATGGTGGTGGTGAAGCCAATGTCAGTGAAAGATAGGAAACTCAAGAAGAAGTACATGGGGGTCTGCAGCTGGGGGTCAGTGCGGATAGCCAGGATGATGAGCAGATTCCCAGTTATAGTGACGACGTACATGATGAGGAAGAGGACAAAGAGTGGTACCTGGTCCTCAGGTCTTGAGGAGAGTCCCAGGAGGATGAACTCGGAGACACGGTGGGTTTGGTTGACTGTTTCCATGATTGTGGAACCATCTGAATTAGAAAAGATTGTAACATTAACACCCTCTTTTGTGAAACAGTAATTGTTAAAAAGCTAGCAAGTCTTTGCATCTTCCTACCTTTTCTTTCCACTCACAAGGTGGCAACTTGTGAGTTTGGGCAATTTGTCAGCTTCAGGTCCCTATGCTCTTTCACTTCTCACCTCTAAGGCTTTATAATCTTCTTATTGGTATGCAGGCATTCATAGGATGATTTTTCTTTAAGGAATGTAATTAAACTTTCCTGGTAAAATCTACAATTCAATCTTTCAAAAGATATTTATTTATTTATTGAATCAAACAATTCAACCTTAAAAATAACTGCTTATTTTTTGACAAATACTTTCTGTGAATGAAGGCACAGATATAAATAAAGCAGAGATGATTTAGCTTTCTAAATCTTGGCTTTGTACTGAAGGATCTACATCTCTCTGTCCTCTATCAAAAATTTAATCTATATATTTTATATTTATAATATAAAATATATATTAGCAATGAACATCAGAAGACATAATCACAAATAATAACCATATACTACAAATGTAAATGGTTTACACGTGCACCTAGAATTTTTCAATTATATAAATTATATTTATATTGTCTTGATTTATACATCTATATTTTAATATACATTTACCTATACTTGTATTTCTTATGGTCATCATCACTAGTGGACATCATTAGATATTTTACATTTTATAAAATAAAATGCTACTACAGCGTTCTCTCTGTGAACATAGAAGAATAGAAAAATTTATTTCAATGGTGTTTTATTGCTGTCTATAGTAAAATAAATGTTCAGTTATGTATTCTGAACTTACTTTCCATAAAATGGACTTTATAAATTTTTCCATCAGAAAATTAGAAGAATATGATATGTCCAACCAGATTTATTTCAAAGATTCTTATTCAGAAACTCATACTTCTTTATTTGATGAGCACTTTTTTGAGCACCATTTGTTGAAGTGGTTTTCTAAGCTCAACTTTATATATATATATATTTTTTTTAATTAAGGATAAAGACCCTCCATGTATATGATAGTCTGTCTCTGGGCTCTCAGTTCTATTCCACTGATCTGAAAGTCTGTCATTACTCAAGTACCACGTTGTTTTAATTACTACAGCTTTATAGTATAGTTTGAAGTTGGGGAAAGAAAGCCTCCCATCTTCTTTTTACCTAGGTTTGCTTTGGAGACTTGGAGATTTTTATTTTTCCAATAAATGATTTTTCTCGTATGTGAAATATAAAGAAACAAAGCAGGGGTTTGTGTAACAAATGCTGAAAGGCAACAGAGACTGAGAACGGGTCTTCATGAGAAGTTTATCATAGGGGAGATAAGGTGAATGTATAGGATGGGGAGGTGGTTGTGGGGGCCAACGGAACAATGGTGGAGGGAAATGGATACTCTGGTGCAGGGTGTGGTGCTGGAATGTGTTATGCATGAAATTCTATTAACAACAGCATTGCAAACCACAGCATCTATAAAATTAGAAAGGAAAATCTTACACCTCAGGGAATGTCTATCTTTGCTAGTCCATGCTAATCTTCACTATTATTATTTTTGGTTTTTGGTCACACCTGGTGGTGCTCAGGGCTTTCTCTTGGCTCTGCACTCAGAGAACATTCCTGGTTGAATTCTGGGGACTATATAGGGTACCGTTGATGGGATTACATGGCGCCAGGGGGCCAGGTGGTGGGTGTGATCCCCGCCTACTGGAATTTGGAGGATCTGGGTGGAGGATGCTCGACTCCAATCCGAGTAGGCTTGGAGATCTCAGCCCCGGAACCCGCGTGGCTTTGTCCCTCTGCCAGTACCTTCATGTGTGCGGAGAGTGGTCTCAGCATGGTGGTGGCTGGTACTGGAGGTCTTTGGCTGCCAGAGCTCTGGTCGGGGCGGGGAGGACTCAGAGACTATGAACTCCAGCTCCCGGACGAGACCAGTGCAGTCTCCTGCCCCTGCGCCTGGCTGTTCCTCGCCGGGGTCCCTTGGAGGGGAGCGGGTTAAGCTTTCCTCCCCGCCCCGACCAGGGCTCTGGCAGCCGAAGACCTCCAGGACCAGCCACCACCATGCTGAGACCACTCTCCGCACACATGAAGGTACTGGCAGAGGGACAAAGCCACGCGGGTTCTGGGGCCGAGATCTCCAAGCCTACTCGGATTGGAGTCGAGCATCCTCCACCCAGATCCTCAAAATTCCAGTAGGCAGGGGTCACACCCACCACCTGGCCCCCTGGCGCCGTGTAATCCCATCAATGGCCAAGACTCAGAGACTATAAAATCCAGCTCCCGGAACCAAGCGGCTGCATTTGCGGCCGCGCGACATCTTATCATGACATCTTTTTATGACATCTTATTATCTCATTCCTACTTTTTTACAAACTTGCAAGCTATCGAATGTAGCCTGCCCACAGGGCAGAGTCTGACAAACTCCCCGTGGCGTACCAAATATGCCAAATACCAGTAACAATGATGGGTCTCATTCTCCTAAAGAGCCTTGAATATAATCTCAGGGCTAGGATGAAAGAGACGTTACTGGGCCTGCTTGAGGCAATCGACGAATAACAGGATGATGAATGAATGAATGAATGAAAATATAGGGTACCAGGCTTTCAACCCAGGTTGGCCACATGCAAGGCGAGTGTCCTTCCCATTGTACAATTGCTCAGCCTCCTAATTTTTATATTTGAAAGCAAATCTGAGTTAATTTATATTCCTATGTCTTGAACATCAAACAATTAAACAAGCATATATAAGTATATATATTTGAAAAATATGTTACTGCTTTGTTTATATGTCCACCCGACCCCCCAGCCTCCCAATTCAACAGTACCGTAGCCTCTGTATCATTTTCTATACATGGGTTTTTTGAGAACTGAGTATGTTCAGGTTCGTTACTTTTGAGCTCCTTCCATTGTATACCTGGAGTACACTTAAACACTTGACTTAGCATATCTTCCTTGATGTCCTCTAAGTCTTTGCTATCATGAATAATATTGATTAAAGTACCTTGTTTCCACAAAATGTTTCATTTATTCATTTATGTTAGCTCTTATTTCAGGCACCATGGTTCACAAAAGCTCTGATGGTGGTTTTCTGTATAAAACATTCCAGCACCGTAAATCTACAACTGTACCTCAAGGTGTTTCACTAATAATAATAATAATAAAAAATAAAAACAAAACAAAAAAATTCCAGCACCACACCCTCACTAGCGTTCTCTTCCCTCCATCACTGCCCCAGTACTTCCCTCCCACAGTGCCCACCTGGTGGTAGCTTCCTATTAAAGACTAGTTCTTGGTTTCTGTTGCATCTAGGCATTTGTTATTTCCCTAATAACATATCCTGCACACAGAGTGTTTTGAATACTTTGTTTGTTGGAATGGGCTTACTGGATCGACATGTTTAGTTTATTTTCTGATCTCATCTGTTGTAGTTTTAGAAACAGGCAGAAGGTGAAAACATAGGCTAAAGACAGATGCTATTCATGAGAAATATTAGGGATATACATGAAAACAGAGGGACTGATACTCTTGTATCATCTCATGGCCATGTGGTCAGAGAGGATATGAGTGAGTCCCTTAACTGCGGAGTCATTAGGGCCTATCACTCTCCTTACAGTTTTAGTTATTTATTCAGTTTTATTTGTGGTACAGATGACTGAATACAGGTTTTCTACATACAAGGCATGTTCTCTACCATTGTAGGTAGCAATTTTTAAAAATAAAGATGGAATATTTATTCATTCATACAACATTAATGTCTGCTTTTAGCTGGTTGACCTTAAACAAGTTATTAAGTAACTTTACATTTTAGTTTTTTCATCTGTAGGAAGGATATGCTAATATTTGTTTGAATTTCATTAGATTTTTATGGAATAGCATGCAGAGAACACTTAAACTGTTCCAGGGGCAGAGTAAATATCTGATTCCACTGTCTTCCCTCTAGCATCATTATTACCAGACTATCCCCCAATGGATATATGTTAATGTTTTCAAAAGTAGAAAATCTGAATATTAAAATAACCATTACATTCTAACTTGGCTTCAGTGGCCAAGTTAACCTAAATTTAGACTTGCAGATCTCTAGATGGTTTATTTCCCCATGCTTTGCATATCTCAAGACTGAATCAGTAATTAAGCACATATCTTGTACAGGTATTACTTCATTTAATACTCACAGGAAACTTATGAGGATTAAGTTATAATTATTCTCACTTTTTGGATGGGGAAGCAGAAGAAGGGACTTAAAATATTTTACTAAAATCACACATCAAATAAGTAGCAGAAGCAATTCAAGCACAAGACTAATTCAAGACCTAAACATTTAATCACTGTGATTTTTATATATTTTTAAAGTTACAAAAGTGTATAAGAAACAAACAGGATCTATTATACCCCAATTGCTTACGTTTTAACACACAGCACACACAACTATACACTTCACACACATTTCCCCCTAAATAATTTTTAAAAATCTTTCTTGAATAACTGACCATTGTTGCTGATGGGAAATGCATTTTTCCCCCTTGTTGAAAGGATTTTAGATTTGAAAATGCCAAGGTATCCGGTTAACTGTTAAAAATAGGAGAATCTTGGCTTTAGATGGCTGTATCATAAAGTATGTTGGAGTTGAAAGTGTGGGAGAAAGTGGACCAAACTTGCAATGAGAAGGTAAGGTTGGTACTTGACCTCCATTACTTGCTCACTGAGCAGTCCTTGGGCATTCTGAAGAGCTAATGAAAAGTCATGGATGAGTGCAACTGGTGAAACACATCAATGAGAGTATTTGTGAAGAGAAAATCTGGTGTGTGTGAAATAAAAAAGGGCTGATGTGATCAAGTCAAGTTGGATACTAATCAAGTATTGGGAAATGGGAGGAATTTGGGAAGTGAGAATCTGGAGTCATAACTTACCAGCATGGCTTGTATTGGGAGGAAAACATTTTTCCTTTTTGTCTTTTCCATGTATTTCATTCCTACTTGCTA